AAAAGAAAAGTATCATTCGGTTTTAAAAAACTTTTCTAAGTCCCGAATAATTTTGAACCCGACCTGCTGTTACACTTGCTTTCAGAGTTTCAAAACAACAAGCTGTATATTTTCCGTGTACGGAAAACCATGCAGTTCTCTACGATTTTAAGAGGGGATCATATGAGGTTCATAAAATTAAGCAGTGGATTTGAGCAATATTGTTAACTTTACAAGCCACATTCGTAAATGCAGATACATGACGTTTCATGAACGGCCATTTAACGGTATTAAAAAATCTCACAATTAGAAACTTTTTTAAAACCGAATTATACTCTTCTTTTGAGTATGAACTTGGAAGAAGACGTGATTTTCTACCATATAAGTAAAAGAATGAATATTTTTATGCATGTTTTTCGTAAACTATAATTGAATTTTCAAGGGCATCGAAAATCAACGAGAGAATTGCATACTACTTATGTAGTCATTATTTGCAGAGTATGGATCTTGCATGCAGCCGAAGATAAGTTATTTCGAAAGCCGACACCCTGAGGTAACTGGATCATTATAGATTTATACTGCATCATGATTAGTTTTACAACACTACCTAATTTATCTTTTCGAAACGAGAACGCATTTCGAAATTTTGGTCGACATTTCATGAGTTAGCACATCTACTGTAGGTGCGGCTTTACGCCCTATCAACCACTGACGCCCTCCCCCGCCTCTGGTCTTCTTTACTTTGTCTTGACACCGGTTCCCGGTGGGGGAGAAGGAGAGAATGCGGTAGATTCTACGCAAGTCCGCCACCACTATAAACTAATTCACTCACGCAAGCCACCGTTCATGCCCTCACCTTATTGTGGAGCACGTGACGAACATCGTCGGTCACGGCGGTGAAACTTTCGCGTGCGTATTTGTTTTTGTGTGTTGGTAAGGCAGATTTGTGGTGTTTTACTGAATAGTTCCGTGGATGTTTGTATGGCCAAATAGGTTCCTGCTATAGTCGAATATAATCAAACAGCGTGCGCGTGGCTATACATGGCTGAGGGCTTATCTCTACTCCTAACACTGGTTCGCCGATCGCAGTGTGATGGATTTGAAAATAACCAACAAATCTGGCGTACGATATGAGGGTGTGGCCACGATGGGAACGATCTAAAACTGAGTTCACACTGTTGGCAGAGCTCTTATTGCTGATCGACAGATGAATGGGTTTACTTCCTCATTGTTGCTGACGATAGCGACGGTTTGTGCGGGAAGAGGTGATTTGAATTGGTACATTATTCTTCTTAATAAGAATACGACATTTTCTTTTGGCTTTTTAATTTTTGGCTGAAGATCTTCTGGATTCCATTCCACCAAAGGCATTTAACTCAAGCGCTTCCTGTTCACCTATATCGCGCTTTGTTTCTAGGAGACTTACGATGTCGTCAAAGCAACCCCGGCATCCATCGATCAGCTCCCCGTCAGCAGTGCCGAAATATTTAGATGAGTTCTGAATACGAAGAGCGCGCGAGAGAGAGAAAGGGAGCCTTTGTCCCCTATTGTTGTAAAGACTTTTAAAACTTCTTCGGTGATTTTCGGTTTTATATGGCTGTCCAAACCATGGTCCACTTGCTTACTAAAAACATTGTGTTAATACAAAAAATCCGAAAATTCAACTTTGTTAAATACATTCTTCACTAAACAATTTGCATTCGAGACTGGGATGATTTTGTTCTCCTTACTTGTACTCTAATGCACTTTTCCATCATTATTTCTCTCTTTTCGGTTATTTACGGAAAAAGAAATCACCTTACTAGCTTCCGCTCATTTGGAACTGACATCTCCGAATCTCTCTTTAAACAACTAAACTGTTCTAGGTGTTCCCCGTGTTGAAGTCTCCCCCGATTTTTTGAAAACTTCCATTTATATTCTTAAACTTGGGTTTGACTCCCGTTCCGACGCTCACAAATGTCGGCGTTCGCAAAAAAAGGAACATTTGAGTTCACAGCGAGTGATTTTTATATAAATAAACGGGTTCTTGGCTCCTTCTACCGCGGCGTTCTGCCAGACAGCTCTTGTGAAACTTGTCACTCCTCTTTGCTGCATCTTCTCGCTCGTCGTTTCGCAATGAACAGTTCTCAGTGGTCTCTCTTAGTCAAGCTCATTTTAAATTGCCACACAGATGACACTTAGTAAAACCTGAATATTTGAGAATTCCTCATTCCCTTCGCAACTTCACTAAGTCATACAAATTAATTTGGAAACAAAGATCCTTTTATCAATACAAACGAAAACGTTAGTTCCATGAATCAGTTAGGGGAATCAGACGCGGTTATTGAAACAGGAATTTTATTCGCCTGAAATTTGTGATTCACACCAGAACGCATCATCAGAGAGGGATAATGGAAGCCACCGCAATTTTGACAGGTATGCAATAGCATAGCGAAACCATACGATAAATGCTGCAACCTCTGTGCATCCATTGTCGTTATCTGATACTGCTTCTAAGTTCGAATATGGATCCCAAACTTCGGGTGAATAAAATTCTTGTCCCAGTGATTGCGTCTCATTCTTTCCAGGACTTATTTGGTTTTTTTCATTTTTAAATAAAGGTCTACCGTTAGTGGTGTTCCTTGGGGTATCATAGTAGGTCCCGCTTTGTTTTTTGCCCCATATAAGTGATATTTTTCCCGCAGTTAAACGGGCTCGGTCCCTTTATTATTCCGGTGATATATTCAACATTTTGGTGCGCAGTTATTTATATGGCTACTTAGTAGCCACTCAGACTTGTTAGTCTGCTTTTTAATAGGGCACAAGATGGCTAGTTAGATTTTCCTATTCAAACGTCATTTCATGTGTCTTGACCCTGACAGACAACACTAACCCGTGTTTCTTCAAGGAACCCTATGACTGTCCAATTCACAATGACGTACCTCTCTCTTTCCTCATGCTGACAAAATTATGGCCAGGGCTGCACACAGTTTCGTTGTCATCCCTTGTACTTTTAGCCTCTCTAAAATTAAATTGTGACATCCTGTGTACGTCCGTCGCAATTTTGAACGTTACTCCTAATGTTTCGGCTAAATGAGAGAGTCTAAACGTTTTTGAAGTTAAAATATTTAAGGGCATTTACCAAAGAACTTCATATATCAACCACTTCCAAATATTTCTTGCTCGAACAGATTCCAGCTAACTAACCTCCAATTTATTCGCCACCGCCCCTCATCGGAAAGTCATTTTTGCAGTCCAGTTATCGTGACCCTGACCGCCCGCTGGGACCGGAAACACAAACATGAGCTCATGGGCCTGGCGCAG